GAGCAGGAGCCAACTTTGACATTTCATCTTCTTCAGAAGTTTTCTTGGGAGAATCATGCAATTTCAGGTAGCACCTAAACATCAAGCCGGGAGGCAAATGTGACAACAGTTTAAAGGAATCTATCATGCATCCATACAGTAGATACTGTAGTTAGATTACATTCATGCAACAAAGAGTTCACCTGATAGCTCGGATTGCTGCTTTGTGGAAATATGGGAATGAGTGCAATCGGTCTTGGAACTTAAGCATGTCAACATATGAACGCAAAGTCATTTTTCTTAAGCAATATGAGTGGAAATCGAATTGATCTTCAGATATGTCGGCATAGTGCTTCTCCACAGCCAAAAACTTCTTCAGAGCACGTCCAAGATCACCCTGACGGAAGTAGCTATCTCCAGATGCAAGATCGTACCTTTTACGAAATAAGATGAAAAGACAGGCATTAGAAATATATCTGAATTGTCAATGTTACTTTAGCAACACTACTCAGGCTTCTATAGAGCCATACCACATGCACTGCATGTCATGAAGATTGTTGAGCTGATCTCCCTCTTTTGTAAATAAAACTGCAGTTTTCTCAGCCATGGTAACCTTCACCAACAAAGATCACAGAACGGAGAACTAAGTTGAGACTAACCAGAGGACATCGACCAAAACAATATAATATGAAAAAATCGAGATGTAAACCTGATCTGCTTGCAGCATACGCTTAACGCATTCACTGTTTATATAACGATCTGCTAGGTCCATGCACCTAGCTTCATCGGCAAGGGCAGCAGCAGCAGTCAGGTCTCCTGCATGCTTCATTATTCGGCTCTGTTGAGATAAATCAGTACAAGGGTTAAGAGGAAACAAGAATATCCTGATACACAAAATGATAACCTGATACACGGTGTGAACACATCATACAAATTCTGTGAACACAATCACTATACCTAAATACGTTAGCAACTGTGACATATACCAGGAACTGAGGGATCAAAAATTTTTATGAGGATTTTTGGCCATGATAAATAAGTATACCTTAACGGAGTACAGATCAATCACTGTCGGCGTATGAGCAATGGCCTCGTCAATTTTACTGAGGGCAACATCATATTGACCACGCCTGTCATAATGCTGCATTATGGAAAAACATATATCATGATAAAATAAACAAAATTACAACTGAAAAACTGTCAATTATAGAGAGAGAGTAAGACAGTAATAGCAAAAGTGAACCTGAGCCAAGAAAAACAATGTCCACAATAGTGTTGATGGGGGCTCTTTCACATCACTGCATCGATCAAGAATTAAACAAAAAGACTGGTTAAATCACTAATTTTGTCAACATTACAGCGTTATTTTCAATTAAAATAAGAACATATATCATATATAACGTTAATTCGGTGAATAGTTAAGTAATGAATTCAGTTGTATACCTTCCGGGGTAACTTCCAGTAGTCCTAATCGAATGTTCCATCTCAACAACTAGTTGCTCCAATATATCAGGCTGGAAATAAATAAGAAACGCGTATAGCAAAATAAAGTGAAGCCCGATTAATGAAATTTGCAACAGCATCCCAAGGACAAAGCAGGAAAACTAACCTTGCGAGGGTGATCATACAGAGAAGAGAGATCAGAAAATAATGAAGGAACGCCCTGCGACAAGCATCAAAATATATAAGAGCATACTCTATTAGAGCATTGTGTAAACGAAGAGGCTCAAGGTAAAGAAAAGATACCTTTGTCAATAGAGGTTTAATGTATTTTGCTACAGCCTCCTTAAAGTTTTCATCTTGCAGAAAATCCAATGGTATCCTCTGCAAATGGGAAAATAAAAAATAACTTAAGCCCAATCGTAGAGTTTCACTTATCGGCAGCCAAAAAACATCAGACAAGAACAAATTGGTTAACCAGTAGTTCCTTATAAATTAGAAAATTTATGTCACTACAGGCACTGATCTGACTTTTCTCACCTTAACAGCGGATGACCAAGTGTACTGCTCGCTTAGAGACTGGTACAAGGCATTTAACTTCTCAATCTGGTCGGACGAATATTGACCACTTTCTGAATATAAACCAAGACACTTTTGGAGGCCTTCATAATATCTGAAAAAGTAAGCAATGCAATTTTTTAATATGTTTGCTATAATTGACAGTACTCAAAAATATATAGAAGCCTTCAAACTTTAGCGTGTCACAGGAAAAGAAGCAGAGTGAACAAATGCGACAGTAGAAAAACAACGAAAAATACACAACTAATTCCCCTAAAATGAATGACTTGGAAGTGCAAAGGAACAAACCTGTAATTGTCAGGGTTCATAGAAAGCAACACCCTGTAAAGTTTATTGGCTTCTTCTAGACGACCAACCTTTGACAAGAGAGAAACCTCTTGTTCTTTGTAAGACAACTTATCAACCTATACAACCAATCAAACAAGGAATGTAAATCTATTATATGCGTGTATCTTATAAACCAAATATATTAAACTATCAGCTTTATGAACTTACTATTTTTGCCTCTTTTTTGTGCAACTCCTCAAGAGCTTTGTCAAAAGAACCACTCTCCTCAAGCAAGGAAACCTGGAAGAAAAACAAAATCCAGCTGATATTTCCTGCAGGAACAGATACCAAAACTGTGCTAATACCAATGTAGGTTGCTCAAAAACAGAAGTGAACAAAGCACCACCATTCCAGGTGGCTTAAAGAGACTTTGTCAGTTTCATATTCAACTTTTCTTGTGAGAGGAATACTTTAATAAGAAAGGAAGACAGGTGTGTTTCAAAAATGTATGACAGACGCACTAAGCCATACTTTGTACCAACCGACTCGTACTTCTAGTATTTTCGTCAACGGATAAATTAATACCAGAAGCTACATTGACCCATTTACGGCAAGTATGTTCCAGGGAAAAAGGTCTGTAGAGATAACATAAAGGTACGACACTAATTCAATTTCTGCTTGATACCTTGTATAGAATCATTTCTGTGTGTTCAATTAGCTCGTTCTCAGGAGGATAATCATCCTCTAAGGTGCCTTCATACGCTTCCAAAATTTCAACAGCTTTAGAAGCACTGGTCTCATAAAAAACAAAGCAAGTTAAGAAATCATAGTTGATACAGGGCGACCTCTTACTTGTCAAAAGAAAGAAATCCATTCTATTGACAAGAAAGGCATAGAATTTTACAATGTTCATTGGTATATTATTTCCTAAAAGTCTGATGCAAGATTCATCACAAGAAAGGCATAACCTATACACTCATTAAAATGTCGAAGATTACAATGGCGGATCATATAAATACACAAGCGGATTAACCAGCTAGCCAGTAGTCCAAAGAAGAGCGCGTTAACCAGCTAGCCAATAGTCCAAAGAAGAAAAACTAGCATTCCACTTAAAGGAGTAAAGTACTGCAACTATTTAGATTTAAGGGTTTAGGGACCATAACATACTTTGCATTTAAATGCTGGGAGACTGCAAAGCCAATCCAGTTCATTCGGTGATTAGGCTTTAATGTCAAAAGCTGCTGCCTGGTCTCCACAAAACCGGATAAGTCTCGCATTTGTGCCTAGGATTAAAAAAAGTATACAATAAGATAAATTGCTGAAAGCATCAATTGAGATAAATATTTAATTTTCACACCTAATAAACTCTCCTCAACGCAACAATCCCATAATTACCTGCAAGAGTGAGAGATCTCTGAGTATTTCAAGGTTATCAGGATCTATTCTAAGAGCATTTCGGTAACACTTGATGGCCTCTCTATACTCTCTGTCTGACCGGTAGAGAAGACCAAGCACATGCCAGCAAACATGGCTTTTGATGTCATTCTGCATGAAAATAAAGTATAAATCCTACGGTACCCTGAAAAATCTACCATGTCTGGAAACCAAGGAATAAAGTTATGAGTATTGAAGAGCACATCCGAACCTTCACTCCAAGCCGAACAAGCTCATATGCTTCGGTTTTACGGTCCATACAGTTTAGAGTCAGTCCTTTCATCGATAAAGTCTCTGGAATGAGAGAGAATATAAGAAACTGGTCTTAAAAAGAAGGAAAAACACAACTAAAAGGGATGACAAATAATGCAGTCAAGAAAGAACCATTCAGAAGAAGCAAGAACTGCGCTTAGCACAAAACAAAACAGATTTCAAATAACACAAATAAACAGAATCAAGCATCTCCTTTGCTTCAGTACATGATCATACATTACAGCCTTAAAACCAAGAGTTTAATTTTATATGCTCCTTAAACTACAGACAAGACACCCAAGCAACTAGTAGACATCTACGTGTCGTTTGATCTCAATTGATACTCCATAGAGTTCCAAATTCAAATAGCACTGATATATTAACATTAAATGAAAAAGGAATAGAAGGACAGTTTTGAAGTTATGATAAAAGACAACTCACCCCCATGATCAGGAAACTTTTTCAATATGGCATCAGCTGCCTTCAGTCCCTTCTTGTACTGCTTAGTCTCATAAGATTTCTGCATTATAAGATCACTCAGAATAACTATACAAGGTAATATTAAAGACGACATCTGCCAAACTATGTTTGCTGTAACAACATTCTAAAGGCATAATCATATAAACAGTGAATGAAGCATTGTAAATTACAGAAACAATGTGAAGTACACAAAGGAGTTAAAACTGTTACTATATATATATATTCTTAAAGCTTGGTTTAAACCATGTTCCTCAAAGTAAATTAAAGAAATCCCTCAACTAAGTCTCCATCTGAGCCTGTGTCAAAGATTCTAAATAGTGACTTAAGAGAACCCAGAAGCTATCAATCAATAGCCAATAGTCAACGTAACTGAAGCTACAGAACTTGGCAAATTAGATTTACAGGGAAAACACAAAACGCACCAAAAACTCGACACAGTTTACTTGTCATGTCAACGAATTTCTATTGACCAAACACATTGACGGTGAGCTCAATTTAGGGTTTAACAAAAGATACAAAACTCATCGTATTCCAATTTCTTCATACTAGAAACATCACATCGCATACTTCCGTAGAGAGACGAGGGGGGAAAAAGAACAGTGAGATTAAAGAGAGGGGAATCGGAACATACGACTATGAGCTTGAAGAGATTGGCCTCTTTAGGAGGAAGCGAAGCCCCCATTATCTTCGGCTAGAGAGAAAGCTCGC